AAGAAGAGCAGAAAGTGAGTGTGGGGGAGGTGCATGAGGCATTACGTAGAATCAGAGGGGGTTAAACAGCTGGTACAGATGGGATCATGACAGAAATGTTAAAAGCAGGGGGGGATATAGTGTTGTAATGGTTAGTACTTTTGTTCAGTAAATGTATGAAATAGAGGAAGGTACTTAGGCATTGGCAAAGAGCATGTATAGTTCCTTTACGTAAAGGGAGACAAAAGAGATTGTAAAAATTATATGAAAATAAGTTTACTGAGTATACCAGGTAAAGTGTACGGTAGGGTTATTATTGAAAGAATTAGAGGTAAGACAGAGAGCAGGATTGCAGATGAACAAGGAAGGCTTTGGAATGGGTAGGGGATGTGTACCTTTGGTATACCTTTGAAAAGTTTCGAGAGTTTGTCTACTTTCTGAGCCCGGCCATGGACCAGCCTCGTCTGGTGCTTACCTGGTCAACCATGATGTTGCTGCTGCAGGCCTGCTGCCCCACATATCCATCACAGCCTGGTTGATCTGGCACCTGGTGAAGATACTTGTCCAGTTTCCTCTTGAAGGCTTCTACACTTGTTCCAGCCATGTTTCTGATATCTTCTGGTAAGATGTTGAATAGTCTGGGACCCCGGATGTTGATACAGTGTTCCCTTATTGTTCCCACAACACCCCTGCTCCTCACTGGGTTTATTGTACACTTCCTCCCATATCTCTCACTCCAGTATGTTGTTATGGCAGTGTGCAATTTTGGGACCAGGCCCTCGCGTATTTTCCAGGTATATATTATCATGTACCTCTCTCTCCTCCACTCCAATGAGTACACGTTTAAGACTTGCAGGCGTTCCCAGTAGTTTAGGTGCTTTACGGGCTCGATGTGAGCCGTAAACGATCTCTGTATTTGTTCCAGCTGTGATGTTTCACCTGCTTTGAACGGGGTCGTCAGCACTGAGCAATATTCTAAGTGAGGGAGCACTAGCGATTTGAAGAGTGTCACCGTCGGCATTATTTCCCTTGTTTTGAAAGTTCTCAATACCCACCCCGTCATCTTCCTGGCTGTCGTGATCTTTGTCTTGTTATGGTCTTTGAAAGAAAGGTCTGCTGACATAATTATTCCCAGGCTTTTTACGTGTTCCTTACGCTCTATTTGCTGACTCTCTTGAGTTTTGTATATAGCGTTCCTTTTGAGTTCTTCATTCTTTCCATACCTAAGCAGCTGGAACTTATCACCATTGAACATCACGTTCTCCACTGCTCACTGGAAAACCCTGTTTATGTCTTCTTGTACTTTTTCAGTGTCCTCTACCGTAGTGACTTTCATGCTTATTTTAGTGTCATCTGCAAATGTGATACAAAAGTATGCCAGGTGTTTTTGTCTATGTCTGCTATGAGGATGAGAAACAGCAGAGGTGCCAGGACAGTGCCTTGGGGCACTGAGATTTTTACCTCGCTGATGCTGGATCTTGCCATATTCACTACTACTATTTGTGTTCTGTGTGTTAGGAACCCGAAAATCCATCTGCCTACCTTCCCCGTAATGCCCATGGCCTTCATTTTGTGCGCTATCACTCCATGATTGCGTTTGTCAAACGCCTTTGCAAAATCTGTGTAAATCACATCTGCGTTTTGGTCGTCTTCCAGTGCCTCCGTAATTCTGTCATATGGTTCAGCAGCTGTGACAGGCATGATCGTCCTGCTCTAAAATCATGCTGGTTTGGGCTATGTTGGTTGTGCTGCTCCATGAAATTTGTAATCTGCCGTCTCATCCTTCTTTCGAAGATTTTTGTGATGTGCGAGGTTCGGTATTAGATCAGGTTAGAGGTTAGATCAGGTGTTTACACTGAAGCATATAAGCGAGCAATATTTTGATAACGGTAGGGAAGTTTTCATTGCATATATGGATTAAGAAAAGGCTTATGATAGGTGCCTAGGGGAGCAATGTGGCAAATGTTGCAAGTGTATGGAATAGGTAGTAAGTTACTAAAGAGTATTTTATGAGGATAGGCTCAGTTTAGTGTGTGTGTAGGGGAGAGGGAGATTACTTTCCAGTAAAAGTAGGCCTTAGACAGGGATGTGTAATATCACCATGGTTGTTTAACATATTTATAGATGGAGTTGTAAATGCTAGGGTGTTGGGGAGAGGGGTGGGATTAAATTATGGGGAATCAGATACAAAATGGGAGTTGACACAGTTACTTTTTGCTGATGATACTGTGTTTGGGAGACTCTAAAGAGAAGTTGCAAAGGTTGGTGGACGAGTTTGGGAGGGTGTGTAAAGAAAGAATGTTGAAAGTGAACATAGATAAGAGAAAGGTGATGAGGGTATCAGGCTAGTTAGTTAAAGAAAAATTGGATATCACATTGGAGGGGGAGGGATTATGGAAGAAGTGAATGTTTTCAGATATTTGGGAGTGATTTTGTCAGCAGATGGGTTTATGAAGGGCGAGGTTAACCATAGAATTGATGAAGGGGAAAAAGTTGAGTGGTGTATTGAGATATATGTAGAGACAAAAAACGATATCCATATAGGCAAAGAATGTACGAGAGTATACTGGTACCAACACTCTTAATGGGTGTGAAGCATGAATTGTAAATTCTACTGTAGTGTGAAAATTAGGAGGAGGTGTGGAGTTACTAAAAGTATTATTCAGAGGACTGAAGAGGGGTTATTGAGGTGGTTTGGTCAAAGAGGATGGAGCAAAATAGGTTGACTTGGAGGATGTATAAATCTGTAGTGGAGGGGAGGAGGGTAGGGGTCATCCTAGGAAAGGATGGAGGGAGGGGGGTAAAAGAGGTTTTGTGTGTAAGGGGCTTGAACATGCAGCAGGTGTGTGTGAGCGTGTTAGATAGGAGTGAATGATGACGAATGGTTTTTGGGACCTGTCGAGCTGTTGGAGTGTGAGCAGGGCAATATTTTGGGAAGGGCTTCAGGGTGGTTAGCCGGACTTGAGTCCTGGAGGTGGGAAGTATAGTGCCTGCACTTTAAAGGAGGGGTTTGGGATATTGGCTGTTTGGAGTGATATCTAAACTGTCATATCTGGGTGCCTCTGCAATGACGGTGATATTGTGTGAATGATGGTGAAAGTGTTTCTTTTTTTGGTCACCTTGCCTTGGTGGGAGACGGCCGACCTGTTAAAAATATTATATATATATATATATAATATATATTATAATATATATATATATATATATATATATAATATATATATATATATATATATATATATGTCGTGCCGAATAGGCAGAACTTTCGATCTTGGCTTAAATAGCAACGCTCATCTTGCCATATAGGACAAGTGAAAATTTGTGTATGCAATAATTTCGCCAAAATCATTCTGAACCTAACGAAAAAAATATATTTCACTGTGTTTGTTTAGTATTAAATTATTGTAAACAAATCTAAAATATATTTAGTTGGGTTAGGCTAAAATAAATTGTTCTTGTTATAATAAAGTTAGGTAAGTTTTCTAAGTTCCTTTTGGTGCAAAATTATAAATTTTTACATTAACATTAATGAAAAAAATATATCTTTAAACGTATTAGAGAAAATTTTAGAAAGGACTTAATTTAAATGAGTTCTTGCTAATTGACCAGTTTTACATATTCGGCACGACATATATATATATATATATATATATATATATATATATATATATATATATATATATATATTATTATTATCACACTGGCCGATTCCCACCAAGGCAGGGTGGCCCGAAAAAGAAAAACTTTCACCATCATTCACTCCATCACTGTCTTGCCAGAAGGGTGCTTTACACTACAGTTTTTAAACTGCAACATTTACACCCCTCCTTCAGAGTGCAGGCACTGTACTTCCCATCTCCATATATATATATATATATATATATATATATATATATATATATATATATATATATATATATATAATATATATATATATGGAGAACTTGCCCATCATAATAGGTTTGTTCCCATAGGCTCATGGGGAAAGAGTGCATCTAAGTTCCTTAAGGAGCTAGGCAAAAGACTCATCAGGGTAACTAGGGATTCCAGGGCAGGTAGTTTTCTGTTCCAGCGACTCAGCGTTGCTGTTCAGAGGGGTAATGACTGATGTATTTGGGCACTCGCCCCAGTTCTGAAGAGATAGATGAGATTTTCGCATTATAATAAGTGACAAACATGTAACAATATGTACTAGTCGTGTATCTCTCACATCACATGTACAGTATATGCCATCTTTATATCAACAATGTATCTCTTAAACCTTTTGTATCATATTATGTAATAAAATATACCTATTGGTAGGGGAAGTGGAATATTCAGGAAGAAATCCAAATATTCTTCCTTGAAGCCTTTTTATCCACTTCTCCGAGGCTATGATGGGTCCCACAATTTACACCAGAGGTGGACCCCATTTATATATATATATATATATATATATATATATATATATATATATATATATATATATATATATATATATATATATATATATATATATATAATATATATAAATTGGTCACTTAGCAAGAACTCATTTAAAATTAGGTCCTTTCTAAAATTTTCTCTTATATGTTTAAAGATATATTTTTTTCATTTATGTTCATGTAAAAATTAATAACTTTGTACCAAAAGAACCTTAGAAAACTTACCTAACCTTATTATAACAAGTGCAATGTAATTTAGCCTAATCCAACTAAATATATTTTAGATAAGTTTGCGATAAACGGTGAAATATGCTTTTTTTCGTTAGGTTCAGAATGATTTTTGCCAAATTATGCATACACAAATTTTCGCTTGCCTTATTCGGCAAGAGCGTTACTATTTAAGCCGAAACAGCAAGTTTTACCTATTCGGCACGAAATTATATATATATATATATATATATATATATATATATATATATATATATATATATATATATATATATATATATATATATATATATTTATATATATATAAAGCACTATGTCTGGTTCCTGGTTTTGATATTAATTAAAGGTTCTATATATCTTGCTTGACAGGTGTTGGTAGCACCGGATCCAAGCTACTGGTACAAGAGGAACCCGTTAGCTGATGAGATCTTCATCACAGACGTGACGGCTAACCTCATCACCGTGACCATCCGGGAGTGTAAAACGAGACAAGGCTTCTTCAAGGGCACAGATGAGAACCAAAACTCTCAGTCGTCCATCAAATGATGTGCTTCCCTACCAAGTCGTTGTCGCTGCCAGCAAGCATGCAACTTAAGAGAATCACTCCCTAAGTGTATACTGTGCATACCCATGGAAGTATTTTGCATAATTTCAGTAGTAAGGAAGCAAGTGGTATGTGAAGTGTCGAGACGTACAGCCAGTCGGCTGTGGCATCCTCTCCTCTCGGTCCCTCGATCCCAACACTGACACCATCAGTGATTGCTGAGTTTTTATGATTTCGAGGATTAAATTCTGGCTACTGCATTAACTTAGTCCCATTATTCTGACGTGATTTTTTTTTTTTTTGTTCCCAAGGTGGTGTTCGAGAGACGCCAAAAGTATTAACAAAAGATAGTCTTCCAGTATTGGTGGTTGGCAGTAAAGACTGTGCTTGAGTAGTATATTCAAGTACGTGAAAAAAACTATACATAGATTCAGTGTGTATATTGGCTAGAGTAGGCGTTTAATTCGGTTGTGGGTGTAGAAGCAAGTTCAATCTACGTTTAATATGAATGATTTAACAGCAATTCTGGGACCATTTATGTTAGTCATAAATATGGTGAAACACAAAGTTACACCAACCCTTTCATACAATACTCAAGTGAAATCTTAAGAATCACGTCATTGGGGGAATTAACTGACGCCTGAAAGCAAGATCAGCGGCTTCACTTGATAGACAATGTGCTGTGTTCTAGTGTCCTTATTCCACTGTGAAATCTGTGTTTTGTCAGTCTACTGCGCTGTCAGTTTTAAGAGAAACATTGGGAGATACTAAAAGGTAAAACGTGTGAAAACGTCGGTTCTCTGCGGGAAAATAATGTACTCATTGTGAGTTATACACGTGGCCTTGCACCGAGGAAACAAAATGTAGAAGTGCGATAAACTGTCCTATGAACACACAGCAGGAAACAGTTTGAAGTGCTGAGGCTGTATTAACACCCAGCAGAGAACACTCGGCTTATGTTTGAAGAACTGAAAATGTTGAACATTCGGAAGACCAAGCAAGCACTTGAAATAGTTACGAGGAACTTAATGAATAGAAAAGGGTTTTCTCCCTACATACTGAGTGTGATTACCCTTGTTTAATTGTGGGTATTACTGGTTTTGCCAGTCACTATGAACATATTATGTAAACTCTTATTATCAACGTGAGAACTCTGTTTGGTTTCCATATAAAGGTTACTTGGTCACAATCGAGAGTGTACAGTCATGAGAGACATGTCATACATCTATTATTAACCTGAATCAAGGAATTTAACTGCAACAAGTCAGTTGAGTTGCGGATATTTAATTCAATTTTGTGTTTGTGTAATTCTCAATTAAATAATTGTCAGTCCCTAAAATTAATATTCACGTTCATGTTCTCTGTTGAGATGGACATGTGGCAACAGTTTCCTCATGCCTGGGCTACACTAGACATACGTACCAAGGCTAAGTGTGAAAGCAGTTCCCTCATGCCTGGGTTCACTACACGTACGTACCAAGGCTGAGCATAGAAGCAGTTCCCCCATGCCTGGGTTACCCACTATGTAAATGTGCGTGCCAAGGTTCCCTTTATGCAGTTAGTGATAAAGATGATCATGGAGGCGGGCGAGGTGCGACTAGTCGTCATGGTTGGTAGGTGGCCCTTTTGTATTTTACCTGGATTCCTCCTCCACCTTATTGAGCCATCGTGGAACTCGTGGTACAAAGCCCTCAGGCTATTTTTTTTTTACATGTGGATTCCTTCAACTGTGTATGGGTGTCTACATGTTTTCTAAAAGGTCACATGACTGTTACACAGAATGTTCATAATTCTGTGCTACACTCATTAATCATCATTCCCTGAGTGATATTCTTGGGCCACCTCTCCTAGATCTGGCAGTTGGCTGTCCCCTCGTCCATGATAATATACATATAATTATATGCATACTCTGTTTATGTTGTGTACACAGACTCGTTTAGACTTGACTTCTGACTGACTAGGGACAACACATCTTCATACTGTATATGTTGACGTAAAAGGAGCTTTATACTTTGAGGGATATGACATATTTACTTTTGTTGAAGTAGGCTTCATATTCTTATATTTTTCTGTCTGTGTTAATTATTGCCTAAATCAGTGCATTACATTTTTAATGGAAGGCTTTTATATTATTGGTTAAGGAAATACCTGTCTCGAGTCAAAAGAATGTAGTAGTTCCATTCCCAGATGATGTGTGAACGCATGGGAATGAGAGCAGAATGTAATTTTATCTGTTTGTATGTACATAGACGATGCATTTTGTTAGTGTGATCATATAGAAGATATTAAATGTATCCATGTGAGACTGATGTATATCCTAGGTATGAAATAAGGTACGTGTGCTTGTATCTTCTGATCCCAAATACCGTTATCAGCTGCTTTACAGAGAGCATTCCGCAAGTTGTCACAAAGTCCATATCTGCAGTTGTTGCTCTTACCAATTTTCACTATTGGAAAAATGTATTTATGTAAAGATATAAGATAATTAAATCTGCTATGGGAAAAAATAAGAGTATCACAGATATGTAATGTGAAGGTCTATCCAGAGGTGATAGTTGAATCACATGCTCAGCAATAGTGAAATATTCTTACTTTTTCCTTTGTAGATTTTCTCTTGATCTGCTCAGACGCTTGCATGATCAATCTGGATTTCACAGCCTTCTCTTCTGTTTACTTTGTCATTCCTTATAATACTTCAGTACTTCGTTTTGAACCACATCATCCTGGCCATCCCCTTAGTTTTAGCCAAAAAAAAAATAGTATTAAAATGAATGGGAACAATTACAATGTCGTTTATTTGTAAAATTGTATATGTATTTAATTTTAAAAAAATGCACTTTTTGAGGTGTAATATTTAGTAGTCTATGTATCAAAACATTTTTCTAGTCATTTTTCTGAAAATATCACTTGTGGGATATGAAGAATTTAGTATTCAAAATATTGGGCCACATATCTAGAGACAAGCAATTAAAATAAATTATAAAAAATTAGATGCTGTATATATTCATTATTACATTCATGAAGGAGCTTCAAAATTTACCCGTAGGAAGTCATACCATCGCTTGGGGAAGTGAGGGAATCAGGTTCGGTTCAAGCGAGAGTCAGGGCCAATTTCGGTGATTAAAAGCTCCTCACCGGCATTAATGGATATATGTAAAAAAATGCGACTGATTAGCGTTAGAGAAAAATTTAATGATAGTCACATCGCTTCCTTTCTTTCATGCAATGGTTTTTACTCTGGTTTTTATGTATACACGTTGTTTCGCTGCATGATCACCATGCAAGATATAGCAGGACCTGCCAGCCGGTCACATACACAATGTCCTGAAATAGTCTTTTTTTTTTTTAAACTAGCCTAGCGGTAACGAAAGTGCCTAGTACCCCTTTAAAAAATGGCACACCTACTAAAAATTAGTTCGTCAGACGTCGTAACGGCAGGAATGCTTGAAACATGGAGGTACCTATTCATAGAAAATCGTGAGGGCTTAACTCTGTTTAGAGTTCAGTTAATCAGTTAATTCAGTTAGTCTTGGAAGGATAAAATGGCACAGAAAAAAAAGTAAAAATGTGGAAGGACAATCCTGAACATTCAATTTTAATTTATAATTTGTTTGCGGCTTGTAATATTTTGCGAATACTGGTGACTTGTTCACATGAGCTCACTTTCCACACCTCCCCCGTACTTCAGTACCCCTTTATCATGCATCAGTGAAAACCCATGTGGATGTAGCGTATTGTTTTAATATAACAGTTTTCAGTGTGACTCAAGACAGCTTTACTGCATTCTGGTATCTGGCCGCAACTACCTGCACCTATCTCGCGCGAATAGTGCTAGATTTTCCCCTCCATTCTCGCTTATCAGTAACTTCGACTGTTGCAGAATCCAGTATTTTTTCCTTACTCTGTACTTATAAGCTGTCACCTAGAGTATGCCTGACAGCCTAGTCAAAGAAAGGATCTTGCTCTTTTTTTTTAATAAAGGAACTGCAGTTTGGAGTTTCTAGTTGTCCACCTACTCTCTCTCGTGTTATCATGTGTGGCAGTGTTCATTCATGCCTGGGAGAAGATCGTAAATTGGCAAGGTTGTTGTCATGATTAAACCCGTCCTCCAATAGACCGTTCATTTTCCATCTTGTTACAGTGCGTCCATCTCTACAAGATTTAAACTGTTTAAACTTAAATATTAATTATTCCAATTATTATTATTATTATTATTATTATTATTCTGAGCATACGAAGCGCTAAACTCGTAAGGGTCATACTGACCAAATATGTATAGCTAACCGCCAATTACGAAATTACATAGATGTCTGGGTCGCAGAATTTGTCGTCGTTTAAATAGTTTTAAAGCACATATATGATGCTTTTAAGTTGCAGGACGGGTTGCATGACAGCTGGTGGCCCAATATATTATATTCACTTGCTGCTGTTGATGCAGCGCCACACCTAGCATCAACACAAAACACGTCAAATTTTCATAAAATTATTAGGTTTTCATGTCCAGTTATTTGAGTCAGGTATTTCAAGGTGAAGGAGCGAGAGTGGGAACATGAACACACTAGTGATGTGTATTGAAATAAAAAGTGTGTTTTTGCTTGTAAGTTACGGGGGGGGGACACACAAGGCGTTAGTGAGGTGCATTAAGATGAATTATGTGCTTGCTTTTGAATGTGTTCGACATCAGCACACAAGACACGTCTGTGGCCACCTGTCCATACAAGGCCATCAGTCCCCCAAGGCCGTATAGCCGCCGCCAACCTGCAGTGACTTGCATTGCCACCGCTGCAGTTTGAATCTAGCAGCCGTTGGGAAGAGGTGGCGGCGGATTTAAATGTGGCAAGGCACCTGCAGTTTGCGGGGGAGTGAGGGTGTAAGAGGTTTCGCTGATGAGACAGTTACAGGTGTGTGTGTGACAGTGTTACTCATCTGATATTTGGAGTAAGGATCAACACGCACCTGTATCCCTTGATTGTTCTTGTGTTATACTTTCCCTGCCACACCCCGCTAGCGTAATGTACTCCACTCATCTTATTAAATATTCTAGCTTTTACCTCATCAGTCCACCTACTATATATTACCTAACATACCCTTCCCTACGTGTTACCTTCTATTCCTAATCTAATACCCTCCCTATGCATTCTGATATCTCCCCTCCCTACCCGGCAGCAGCCAGAAAATACTTGAAACAGCATGAGTGAGGGACTTGGATAGACTATTTTTTGTGGATGTATGTTGTGTCGGGTAGCCATGCACGGATGGCTGTTGCTCTGAGCTCCTACCCGTCTGGTTTACCTTGGGTTCCTTTTGGTCATCCTGGATACCTCTCCCCACTTAGTAAAACAAAGAGTGGCTACTTTTCCTCTTAGCATCACAGTAGTGTGGCCACGTCTCCACTTACCGCCCAGTAATGTTGGTATTCCATTTTCTTTCCTATGGTTAATGTGGCAAGCGTGGTCTCCAGTGATACACAAGGATTTACTTGTATAATAGCTGTCTAAATACTAGTTCCTGTTTTCATGCTGTATAGTCCTTGTGGCTTAGCGCTTCTTTTTGATTATAATAATAATAATAATCCTGTTTTCATGCCCATCTTCCCCGCTACCACCAACCTAGTCTTTACTTAGCACCGTTCATGTTCTTACGAGAATTTCAGCGTTAATTTCTGAATGTTCCCTGCAATTATTTTTTTTTATATATTTTAGGTTTCACGAACCTATTAAAGTGGATGCGACACGTCTGGCATCATGGTGCCTGGACAGGTCCAGGCAACATTCCAGTCTGCACGTGTGTGATACGTTACGATCGTTTGCTTTAATAATATTCACGTATCACACGTGAGCGTGACCACCCGTGTCTACACCTGATCACAAGTGTTCGCATAATCATTATGGAATACACATGATCACGCGCCAGCCTTTGATCACCTTTGTATACGCATCACCTGTTTTTATAACATGCGTTTGCACCGGACGGGGACACCTGGTGGTGGTGGGATGAACTAGATGTAGTGATGTGAGTAATGGTGGGATGGACCGAATGTGGTGGTAGTGACTGCAGTGGTGGGATGGACCAGATATGGTGGATACTTGTGGTGCTGGGATGGACCAGATGTGGTGGATACTTGTGGTGCTGGGATGGACCAGATGTGGTGGATACCTGGTGGTAGTGGGGTGGATCAGATGTAGGAGGCGCCTGGGCAAGTATCCCAGAGTGGATGGGGTTGTGGTCATCACTGACATTCGGTACAGGTGCAGCCTCAAGAAGTCAGTCCGACTCACACTCACTCTCTCTCTCTCTCTCTCTCTCTCTCTCTCTCTCTCTCTCTCTCTCTCTCTCTCTCTCTCTCTCTCTCTCTCTCTCTCTCTCTCTCTCTCTCTCTCTCTCTCTCTCTCTCTCTCACCGTCACATTTCTGCATATCAATAGTTTTTTGCTGTTGTTTGACATTTTTAAATCATTCTTAGTGTATTGAGTGATGTTTAAACCATTTTTGAAGTTTTGGTTTCACATTTTCTCGATGTAGTTTTTAAAAAAGTGCTATTGTTATTACAGTATGGGTTGGGGGGGGGGAGAGGGAAACCAGAATATGTTTACCTAGAGTCTCTTCCGGAGGTCACCCCTGCGGCCCAGTCGCAGATCACGCTTCTTGATCGATCAGGCTGTGAGTGCCCCTCGCCCGCAGTCCAACGTGTGCACCACAACCCGGTTTATCAGGAACCGTTTTGAGGAATCTGTCGAGTTCGTTATGCACGAGGGGAGAGTGCTGGAGTTGTGGACTTGAATACACTGGAGGTATCCTGACACTGACAAGTCTTAAGTGAGGAGTGCTAAGTTACGTCAGCGGTACAATATCTTGTGATAAACGGGGATATTTATCACGGATGCACATAAACTTTCATTATCGGCCTCACTCAGTGCCCTATCATGCTTAACCTGACCTCACTTTAAAGCAGATACCGTTAATGACTTTTTAAGTCGCATCCGATCAAGAGAGGTGACTTTCAATGTCTTATTTCACTTTTAGACTCCGTTTCAGCACTCCGCATGTTCTACCTGGCGTGAGCCCCTCTGTACTGTGTAGCGCTGACTGAAACGCTTGTTCGTGTTTTCCGCCACTATAATATTATGGGCTAATAAAGTACTACCTAGCCTCCCATATCTTATCCCACCCCTTCCCCAACCAGAGTTCTTTTATACACTATGCATGCACGTGGTCTTGCAAACTCATGTTTCCACCATAGTGGTTCACGAAGTGACTTTTGCTATACTCCAACAAGACTTCGTAGAACACCAGGGCGTCGACGTATTTCTGCACCGTATCTTGTATTCCCTTGAGTGTCTTATTCCCTCTTGCATCCCTCATCACAGTACACATCCCACTTCACGCCACATTCCCTCTCACCCATAATAATAGTTTTGCTTAGGCTACGGAAGGTGCGCGTTTTTTCCAAGCTAGCCGTCTCTTAAGGCGATGAACGATACTTTTCTTGCTCAAGATTGAAGAGTGGATATTCTGACACCTCACCATTCCGAATTGTTGACATCTTAAATGTGAGATTCTGTGAAGAAACGTGTTTTGAAGTACTGCTGGTAATGTAGTTTTCCAGCACTCTCAACACAACTTCTGCCAGAAATTGCTAATCTTATTAATGTGATCAGCCGAATTTGTTACTACACTGATTTTTCTAAGTGGTTGTTGTAGGATACATCATTAGAGGGAAGCTTTTTATAGTGAATGTGGATTGTTTTATGCATGTGTGTTTCACTAGTCTTACAAGTTTGACCGTTTAAGCATAATGACCAACATTATTAGTTGAATGTAAATAATGCATTAGTTAAAAGAGCATCTGTTGGTATGTGTGTAAAAGATAGGTTGTGGGGGTGGTTATACATATATGTTGAAAGTGTGTGTTCCATTCACCTATTTGTGGTTGCAAGGGTCGAAAGATAGCGCCTGGCCTCCTCTTCACTGATCGCTACTAGGTCCTCTCTTCCTGATCCATGAGCTTTCATACCTTGTCTTAAAACTATGTATGGTTCCTGCCTCCACTACGTCACTTGCCAGACTATTCCACTTTCTGACAACTCTATGGCTAAAGAAATACTTCCTAACATCTCCTTGACTCGTCTGAGTCTTCAACTTCCAATTGTGACCCCTTGTTTCTGTGTCCCAGCTCTGAACATCCTCTCTCTGTCCACCTTGTCAATTCCCTGCAGTATTTTGTATGTCGTTATCATTTCTGCCCTAACCCTCCAGTTTCGTCAGGCCGATTTCCCTTAACCTTTCTTCGTAGGACATTCACCTTACCTCTGGAACTAGCCTCGTTACAAACCTTTGCACATTCTCTAATTTCTTGACGTGCTTGACCAGGTGTGGGTTCCAAACTGGTGCTGCATATTCCAGTATGGGCCTGACGTACACGGTGTACAGTGTCTTGAACTATTCCTTACTGAGGTATCGAAACGCTATTCTCAGGTTTGCGCGCACGCGCGTGTGTGTGTGTGTGTGTGTGTATGTATGTGTGTGTGTGTGTGTGTGTGTGTGTGTGTGTGTGTGTGTGTGTACTCACCTAATTGTGGTTGCAGGGGTCGAGACTCAGCTCCTGGCTCCGCCTCTTCACTGATCGCTACTAGGTCCTCTGCTCCCTGAGCTTTGTCATACCTTGTCTTAAAGCGTGTGTGTGTGTGTGTGTGTGTGTTAGTGGGTGAGAACCGTACAAGAGAAAGATGTGTGCGTGTAAAAAGATTTCAAGTGAGCTCTGGGCAGGTTTGGTAGTAGGGCTGGTGTTCAGGAGACATGGGCTCCCAACTTCGCCTTTCCTGGCTTGAAAGCCCCACTCGTGCTGACTTGTAACCATAGGAGTGTAAACGTATCCTTAATTCTCCAGTATGCCTACAAGCTGGCTGAATGAGAATTGCCACTTTATTTTCAACTTTAGCTACTACTGTCAGACATAAGTTAATACTTAAATCCAATTGTAAGTGCACCGGATTTAAATCATCCATACTTCATCCCGTATGGCATGCTTGTTGTAGCGTGGGACAACCATGCTAGATTAGTGAGCCCGATGAAAACATTAGGAATACTCTAGTTGATCGCAACTACAGCAGGTGCTTCTGGCACGCAGGCAAAGTAATTAAACATTTGCAGAATAATTCTTAGCAAAACGTTATTTGCAAATAATTTCTAACCGCTTAGTGCTGAATCTTCGTGGGAAGTTGCATTGCCTTTGTCCTGGGCACGTGTTGTGGCCACGATGTCTTGAATAACATCAATACCAGCGTGTTAAGGTGCCATGGAGCCTGAGTGACGTTTATGTGTGTCAGCTGATTGATGAATCGGCAGTATGGTTAATCCTGTTGGAATGATATCTAAGAACTTTCATGCACGGTATTGAGGGAGTCTACTTTGATTACTAATAGAATGAGTTCAGCCAGACTGACCTGCAGCAAGGTCTGGTCTAGTGACCAAGTGTTGGCTGCCAGTGGGACGTGGATGATGGTCTCTCCAGCTTCAGATCTTGTCAGGTTTAGCACACGTAGTAACCGTGATTTACACAAAAGGTTAGTGCTAAACCCTTAGGGATCAGAGAACGCCTGGGGAATAGGAAATAATTTGTCTTTATCCAAGAAGGGAAAGGAATTTCTAATTTCTTAGAAAGCCCTTTACCCCTTGAAGGGCCTTGATCTACAGTTGGTCAAACATTTATACTTTGCGTTAGGTATGCAGTCCCTCCTTGTCCCAGGGATGTTTACTCTTGACTTCTCAAGAAAGTTGGCCATATTTTTATACATGCAGTGGTGTGAGATCCAGACAAAACAAATGTCTTCAGCAGCAGCAGCTTGCAGTAAAATGGACTAAAGAAGCAAACTTATTTAAAGAGCTTATAGCGATGAGCGTTCTAGTAATGAAAACTCATCCTTTCGTAGTTTCATGCAGTGATGCGAGTTTAAACTCCGTCGTTGAATAATGTCCTTTCAGTAGCTTCCGCCATAGGTGTTGAAAAAGGCCACGCTGTCACATGCTAACAGCACCATATTAATATGAAAATTTGGTCAATTTAGAGATCCACAGATTTTTAGAATGTTGCATGAGAGACCTATTGAGGGTAGGTGAGAAGCTGAGGACCTTGACCACAAGACAGCTGGACTACATGTGATACAGCTCATCAGCTGACTTCCATCAGTCTGCCCTGTATCTGAGACAGGTGATGATGGGAGCTTAGGTGAGCAGATTGCGTCTACACAATAATTATGATAAACAGACGCACGCTAAATGTCTCTTTCTCTTCTCTTTCTATATAGAATTATTGTATATGATATTTTTCTCGATATCTAATGATGACTATAAGCAAGTGACTGGCCAAAGTCCTGTACAAATTGTATAATAGATTCACGGTTATAATTAATAATGATGCTTATGTAAATAAATATTTTCCTGTACATGTGTTTTTCTTTTCCAAGAAACTCTTATTATTATTATTATTATTATTATTATTATTATTATTATTATTACAAAAAAGTGCCAAGGCTCCTGGGTAAAAATACTACATGTATATAGATTGTGTTTAATTTATTGGTTGAAATTGATTAGATATTATTGGCTGAACAACCAAAATGGATTTAGCACTGTGAAATTAGTAATATTAATTAGAATATAATAACACTTAAATGTACAAGATTACGGGTCTCTTGTGATTGTCAAGGCCTTCTAGCCTTGTTAAACAGGAGCGCACGCGCGCACACACACACACACACACACACACACACACACACACACACACACACACACACACACACACACACACACACACACACACACACACACACACACACACACATACACACACACACACACACACACACACACACACACACACACACACACACACACACACATGTATATGCAAACAATCGCAGACAGGCGATCGTAACAATGCAAGACAAGCCATGGGGGGGGGGAATCTTTAGCTCAAATACTTAAACATTTCTCAGTGCATCATCAGGAGCTATACATTGTTGCAACTGAAGGAAGTTTTTTCACAGAGCAGCACAACGAGGGTTGACACCAGCCGCAGTCTCAGAATGTGAGGCAACTGCCTTTGTGCTACCAGCCCTATGACCCTCCCCGTCTTCCCCCCACCACCTAATAATGTCGGTGGTGACTACAAAGTCCCATGCACCCTTTGCCCACTCTCATACATTGGTCAGACAGGTAAGTCTCTGGAAACCAGATTATCCCAACACCAGTACTCAGGCCAGGTGTTGACTGCGATCTTTAACTATATCAGCTCTTGTAATCACCCTCTGGGATGGGCTGCTGCCCAGATAATTGTACCCAACTGTTTCATTTTGGAACCCCTCAAGGAAGGTTCCTTGATGTTGGTGAGGGGCTCTTGATTTAGGGAATTGGATCTGTACTCCAGTTCCCCGAATTAAGCCTGAATGCCTTCCACATCCCCCCCAGGTGCTGTATAATCCTCCGGGTTTAGCGCTTCCCCCTTGATTATAATAATAATTCATTTTGGAAAGAGATATAATAGAGTCCTCCCTCCTGAAACATGATAGGAATACCATATAAAACTTGAATTATGGGCTGTACAAACTCGGTAGTTATTTAGTGGAGTCATTTGTGCACAGCCTTCAACAACGATGTTATACAAAAGCGAAACCCCCTTATGCCAGGGGGTTTCATGATGTTTCGGTTATGTTCGATCAGAGTCTACAAACTGAACATCATGGTACGCTCGTCGTTAAGTCTGCCGCGAACGTCGATATTTAATATGTTAGGTCTGCCGTCGGTATAACTATTGAGGCCCGTCTTGTTACAGTGGTACAAGATATACATAGACCGATAGACTTTGAAAAAGCCATTGATAACATGCTCATGCACTCAGCCCCAGGCCCAGACTCGTGGAACTGTGTGTTCATAAGAACTACAAGAAATCCCTCTCGTGCCCTAAGTACACTATGGAGAAGGAGCTTGGACGAGGGTGAATTTCCAGTCACTTCAAACAACGGATATAGCCCCACTCCATAAAGGTGGCAGCAAAGCATTAGCTAAGAACTATAGACCAATAGCTCAAACATCCCACATCATAAAAATCTTTGAAAGAGTGCTAAGAAGCGGGATGCAAACTACCTGGATTCCCAAAAATTGCAGGCAGGTCGCTCCTGCCTCTCACAACTACTGGATCACTATGACATGGCCTTGGATGCACTGGAAGAAAATCATAATGCAGATGTAATATACACAGACTTTGCAAAAGCGTTTGACAAGTGCGATCATGGCGTAATAGCGCACAAAATACGTGCTAAAGGAATAACTGGCAAAGTGGGGAGATGGATCTTCAACTTCCTAACCAATCGAACACAAAAAGTAGTGGTCAACAGAGTTAAATCGGAGGCTGACATAGTGAACCCCTCAAGGAAGGTTCCTTGATGTTGGTGAGGGGCTCTTGATTTAGGGAATTGGATCTGTGCTCCAGTTCCCCGAATTAAGCCTGAATGCCTTCCACATTCCCCCCCCCCCCCAGACGCTGTATAATCCTCCGGGTTTAGCGCTTCCCCCTTGATTATAATAATAATGACAGTGAAGAGGTCTGTTCCACAAGGCACAGTACTCACCCCCATCCTGTTCCTCATCCTCATATCAGACATAGAGATGTAACCCACAGCACCGTATCATCCTTTGCAGATGATACTAGGATCTACATGAGGCTGTCATGTTGAGGACGCGGTTAACCTCCAAGAAGATATAAACAAAATTTTCCAATGGGCAACGGAAAACAATATGATGTTCAATGAGGACAAATTCCAACTACTCCGTTATGGAAAACTGGAGGGGATAATAACTAGAACAGAGTATACTACAAACTGGCCATACAATAGAGCGGAAAAATAATGTAAGGGACCTGGGAGTAGTAATGTCTGAAGATCTCACTTTCAAGGATTACAACAGTGCCACGATCACATGTGCAAAGAAAATGATAGAATGGATAATGAGAACGTTCAAAACGAGAGATGCCAAGCCAATCACTTGTTCTCTCTAGGCTGGAATACTGCTGTACAATAACATCTCCGTTCAAAGCAGGTGAAATTGCAGTGTACAGAGAACCTTTACTGCATGTGTAAGTTCTGTCAAGCACCTCAACTACTGGGAACGCTTGGAAGCACTTGACTTGTTGGAACGCAGGAGAGAGAGATATATAATCTACACTTGGAAAATCCTGGAAGGAATGGTCCCGAATCTGCACACACAAATCACTCCCTACGAAAGTAAAAGACTGGGCAGGCGATGCAAAATACCCCCAATTAAAAGTAAGGGCGCCATTGGTACACTAAGAGAAAACACCGTAAGTGTCAGGGGCCCAAGACTGTTCAACAGCCTCCCACCAAGCATAAGGGGAATTACCAATAAACCCCTGGCTGGCTTCAAGAGAGAGTTGGACAAATACCTAAAGTCAGTGCCGGATCAGCCGGGCTGTGGTTCGTACATTGGACTGCGTGCGGCCAGCAGTAACAGCCTGGTTGATCAGGCCCTGATCCACCGGGAGGCCTGGTCGTGGACCGGGCCGCGGGGGCGTTGATCCCCGAAATAACCTCCAGGTAGGTAGTTGCAACATGGTGATTGCAGCTAGTTCAGCGGTTTAATGAATCAGGTTGTTGGTAATATTATAATGATGATAATGATATTAGCAGATGATAATTGATAATAAGAATGGCATTAAAATTAAGAATAGCCTAGTTATTATGAGAAAGGCAGCCTGAACAAGAGAAATTCACACAAGCATATTAATTGACACTGCAAATATTTTCTGATTGGTTCTGTGACACTGACTTACACATGAGGGTTTTTTTCCCTCTATGTCATTAGTTAGAAGGTTGTAAATGAAGGTAAGTACTGATCCAACATTGTACGTTTTTGCGTCACTTGACCTGTTCCCTCCGGTTAGAGGCTTGGGGCTGGCTATTAACTATCTTCTAGTATTTCCTCATGCTATCTGCAAACTGGGAGGCCTACCCCCACCCGCCTACATTTGGGGTAGGGGGGGCGGGACAGGTGTGTGGTTGTCATCCCCCTTCTCTCTCAGAGACTGACTGGCTGCTCCACACTACCACTCTGTAAACTTACCCTACTTCTCCTGTTGTTGCCTTTGCAACATTGCACAGCTCCTGATGATGCTCTGAGAAGTGTGAAAGTACTTGGGCTAAAGATTTCCACCCCCCTCCCCCGTGGCTTGTCTTGCATTGTTAAGATCGCCTGTCTGCGATTGTTTGACATATATATATATATATATATATATATATATATATATATATATATATATATATATATATATATATATATATATATATATGTACATACACACATACATACATGCAATAAAATCACAGTAAACAGGTGATATCACAATATGCAGAACAACCACTGAAAAGAATAGTGAACATCCAAATGCTTTTGTGATTTCTCACAATATCAAGGAACGATGCGAGAAATGACGAAAGTGCTTGTAAGTTCACTATTCTTTTCAGTGGTTGTTCTGCACATACATACACTAGGGATGTGTCAAAGTATCGGATGCGGTATCGGCCATTTTTATGGTATCAGTTCCCCTCATGGAAGGTTCCTTGATGTTGGTGAGGGGCTCTTGATTTAGGGAATTGAATCTGTGCTCCAGTTCCCCGAATTAAGCCTGAATGCCTTCCACATCCCCCCCTGGGCGCTGTATAATCCTACGGGTTTAGCGCTTCCCCCTTGATTATAATAATAATAATAATATGGTATCAGTTAAAAACAGTCAATAACGTTTTAATTATTATTACACAAGAGCTTAAAAATATCAACAGTAACACACTACCTCACGATTGAGAGTTATTCATACACATGCACACCATGAGCAAAATAACAGTCAACATGTGATCAGGCTGAAGAAGGAATGAGGGGAGCTCATAGGGAGTAACCAGGAAGCATGTGAGGAGCTCAGCTCAAGATTCAGGAAGGTATTCTCAGTGGAGACAGAGGCTTCCAGCAAACCGAGGAAGTAAGGTACACCAGCATGTGCTGGACACACTGCACACAGCAGATGAAAAGAAAATGCTAGGTTAACTAGATACCTCGAAGGCAGTGGGCCCAGATAGCATCTCTACGTGGGTTCTGAAAGGGAGCAAATGCACCATGTGTGCCACTAACAATAATCTTCAATACTATAACAGGGCAACTGCCTGAGGTGTAGAAGACAACAAACTTAATCCCAATTTTTAAGAAAAGTGACAGACAGGCACAGACCTGTGTAGCTAACATGTATAGTATATAAAGTTATGGAGAAGATTATCAGAAGAGTGGTAGAGCACCTAGAAAGGAACGGGTTCATAAATGATAACCAGCACAGCTTCAGGGAAGAAAAATCCTGCATCAGAAGCCTACCGGCGTTCTACGATAA